TGAAAATGATCTTAGATTATGGTGATAGTTGGTACAACTCTGTCAATATACTAATTTACAGACAGCTGAGTTGTGCACATTAAATGGATGAACTTTATGGTGTGTAATTTATGTCTCAGCAATCGTTCTATCATTATCTGAGAAGAGTGAACCAAGTCACAAATAGCAACAGACTCTGCAAAAGCCTTTGATAAAATTTCAAAAGTTAATTTCCCATAAATTGGGTTGGACACTCGGCTAACTCCTCCTCGGTTACATCTCTGAAGTCAAAAGCTAGAAATGTTTCTGTCTCATCCTGTGCAGCCTCAATGGGCGTAAATGTGGTCTGCGGTTTGGATCTCGGTGTTTGGTGTATTCCCACTCTGGGGTAAGTGGAGCAGAGTTCGGGAAGATGGGAAGCATCTGGGACACGAGCACTCTAGTCTTTTGAAGCCTGTAACGTAGACTAAACCTGTGCTGCTTGTTGGCAGCTTCTGTGACAACGCTGACGTTGACATGTACTGGATTTTAGGTTAGTGCTGTTAAAGAAGACAAAATACCCAATAAAAGATGATGTGGCAGACTTTATTTAGGACCACTGTGACAGGTATAGGGACCACTGCAATGGGATTTTAGAGTCGGGGGTGGAGCAGGGAAGATGGGCTCAACTCCAAACACAGCTGTGGGCAAATGGGAATTTACAGCCACGAAGAAAGGTGGGGATCAGTGGATGGAAAATTACTAAAAGGAACATCAACACGGGGTGGGGGGATGGATTATCTAAACCAGCCTATTGAGATTCTTACTGAGGACAAGCCAGGGTGACCAGACTTCATCTGGAGGACAGTGGAAGATGGAGAACCTGACCAAATACTGAGGATGCTCAGATATCAAGAGCTTGAGGGTAAGGGGTTCTGGTTAAACTGACTTAGCAGGGTTCTTGCTGAAACCATATTTTACAAGAAAGTGTACAGATGGGCCTATGAGATGGTTCAGGGGCCTGACTAAAGTTGGGTCAAGCAAAGAATCTTTGTCAGTACCAAGGAAATAAACCACAGAAATGCGAGCATGTACCACATACAGTAAGAATAACTCATGTCTTGAGGTCAGGGCTTTTTTAGAGTTGATATTATTTCTGATTTTTCTTTGTATATATCATTTCCTTAGTATGCAATCATTTTAAATCACACTCTGCAATTAGCTACAATATAAAACTGCTCAAGGAAGAATTCATCACAACGTCTAATCAATTTTAATTACTCCCTTATATCTGAAATAGGCTTTAACGGCTCACATACCTGCTGCATTGTGTTTATGATACTCTATAATCTCAGGAATTGAACCAAATGCATGCTTTTCTGCCAGATAATACTTCTTTGGGGATGTTGATGTTTCCTTTATATGATAATGCCTGAAACCAGATGAGCTTTCTCTATAAAAAGAAAAAAATGTGTTAGAACCACATTGGAATAATGTAACTTCACTCTTAAGAGAAACATTTTCTACCAGGTAACTTGCAGGGTCCCTACATATGGCCCCTTTATTCTCTGCACAAATTTTGTTTTCCCTTATATTCTTCTTAGGTTTGCTTTTCACATTAACAGATGCAAGTTTTAAAGTAGTCACTGATAACATACTTGGCTCCCTTGCATGAGACTGTGAGAGAGAACATTTACCAACTCCATTTGCCAGTAGTTAAAAGTCTTAAAATAACTATTAGCTAGCTACTGCTTTTTGGCCCTGCTGTTGGTGTAAACCAGCAAATGTCTAGAGGACTTACACCTCTAAAAGTGAATAAACTTGACTTATAAAGTATGTACAAATTCTACTTTAGATATCCTTCTAAAACACAGATCTCTTGCTAAAAACCCTTTCAAGAGAACTCCTGCTGCTCTTAAAATAAAGCTTAGATTCCTTGACATTGAGATGATCTGTCCTCCACTTTTATCTCTCAGGCTTCTCTCCCCTCCCTTCACCACATCCCTCCCAGTCTACAGTCCTGCTGAAATACACTTTTGTCAGTTCACCATATCCTCCCTTGTTTCTGGGTCCAGGCAGTTTCCTGGGTCAGAAACATGCTTTCCCGTCCCCTCAACGTTTGCCTGCCTCACCCATCAGGTCTCAGCTTGGATGTCACTAGACAACATTAATGACTAACTCAGATGTGTCTGGGCTATGGACCCCCACCCCACCACACACACAGACACACAGGCACACAGGCACACACAGACACACACACTGCCCTCCCCACACAGCACCTACTCATATATACCATCACCACCTGTCTGCTTGTCTGAAAGAAGCCCCCCTAAGCTGTTGGAGGGCTGGGTCTGTGTCTGCTTTGCTCACTACAGTATCCTTAGTGCCTAGTGTAGCACAAAGTAATTGTCTGTTGAATGTTGCTAAAGTTTCTACTGCTATTCTGAACAAATATATATGGAAAACAATGTGGAAAACTACTAAATATGAATATAAAAATGTCATAGACTTTAGAAATCAAGTTCAGATTTTATTTTTTAATGCTGAAATGCAGCTTATTGTTTGAAAATTAGGAATCCATGCAAACTATATAGGAACTTCATACAAAAACTCTGAATTTAAAAAAAAAAAAAGGAGCGAGAGAGTGGGTTTACTTACCCTCCAAACTTTGTATAAAGGGAGACTGTGTACATGCCTGGATGACTGGAATCCCTTACCATAAAGCCACCTTCTTTATCCTAAAATCCAAGTTAAGAAAAAAATTTTCAATCCAATAGCAAATATCAACGCCATGGAGAAGATTCAAGAACCCACTCTTATGATTTTATGATTATAATCCTTTGCCCAGAAAATCTGCTTTGGAGAAGCGCACCTTACCAATAGGTAAGTCATCCATGTGACTTTCTCCCATCAACACGACTTTCCCTTCACATTACTGGGAGTGAGATTAGTTAAAGATAGCACACTCGTAGTTTCCCACCACCACAAACACTCGTGTAAGACATTTCAACAAGATAATCTCTCAAGGCCCTTCCAGAACTAACAGAGAAGATTTTGCAATTCCTTTAAGTCCTGGACATGTGGGGAAATAGTTACTGAAAAAATGTATTTCTTAATGGCTGGGTTTCATTTCATACATTTTTCATATTTGCTGTAGGCTCTGAATCCTGACTCGATAGCATCTTCCATCCATATAATCCATATAGCTTTCTTTCTGTAAATACCTCAGTGCTCTTCATAGGAACATTAAAAAAAAATCCTTAATTCCCTGGAAATCAATGCTAAATACCACTCTTTACAAAAGGAGAGATGGAGGCACAGCAACTTAAGCAGAGAAGACCAAAAGACAGCAGCAACACTGAATGACCAAAAGATAAATCTTCATTGGGCTGCAAGCCAAAGAGCACGAAACAGGGGCTAGGAACCTCAAATGCCTCTCCATCAACACCACACAATCAATCTCTAGCACTGAAATTGCTTTAAAATGAAAGTGTGCTTAACAGATGAAAATAAGCTTCCTTCTTATTCCTGGTGAAGACAATGGAATCGAATAAAGCCCCACAAATAAATCCGTTAAGAACAATGAGGGACAATGATCATAACAGTTAACTGATCAGAAAAAAATATAACAGCTACACAGATTTATTGAAACTGAATCCGTTTTATTATGTTCTAATGTGTGGGATTTACTCAACCCTCAAAACAGTCCTATGAGGTCAGTACTAGTGTCGCCCCCGCTTTATATTACACATAAGGAAATAGGGCACAGAAAGGTTGGGAATTTGCCCCAGGTCAAACGCTAGCAAGTAGCAGAGCCAGGATTTGGACCCCAGGCCTTCCAGCTACCCATTCCCCTGGAGCTGCCTCTCATTGTGCAGTCACCAGGGAGGCACGTGTGTTGGGGGGAGAAGGGGGGACCATGTCATTCAAATCATGCAAAGTCACCTGCTACTGCTCTCTTAACATGAACTACAGAAATAAGTGCCCAACCTCGACTCGGGGTAACAAGCAGGAGATTCAAAGAGTGAGCATGGGTTTAAAAGACCAGGAACCAAACAGAAGAGCTAGATCACAAATGCAGGGAACTGTACAGGTCTTCTAATCCAAACTCCTTGTCTCACAGATGTGGAGAGCAGGCTAGAGAAGTCAGGGCTACACACTCAGGTGGGTCTCCTCACCCAGTCCACGAAGTTACCTCTACACTAGATTTCTTCCTTTGACTTTGTTTCTTTCTAAAGTATAACAATTTTAGCACATTTCCTCCTAAAGGCAACTACATATTTTGTTAAAACTTCATTTATAAAAGATAGCATGGAATATTGGTGTAAATTATTTTAAAGCAACTTCAAGCAAAAAGGAAAGACACATTTACGTACTAAAATCAAGGCCACAAATGATAAATCAGTAAGAAGGAGAGTAAAGAAAATGTTACCCATGTACAGCTATTACCAACTGTTATGGGTTTGCTTCCCCCTCAAAAAAGATATGCCAGGGCCCTAACCCCAGTGAAAAAGAAGTCACAGAGTGGGCCCTAGTCCATTATGACTGGAGTCCTTATAAAAGGGAAATTTGGACACACGACCAGACGTGCGTAGAGGGAAGAAACACAGGGAAGACAGGATCCTCCCCTCACAGCCCCCAGAAGGGGAGAAGCCCACTGCCATCTAGACTTCAGACATCTAACCTCTAGATCTGTGACACAATAAATTTCTGTTGTTTAAACGGCTCAGTTTACAGGAATTTGTTATAGCAGCCCCAGGAAGCTAGTACACCAGTCTTCACTTTAAAATGATTTTTAAAAACCCCAAAACCTGTACTTATAATATTTTTTAGGCTTTAGAAACAGAGGTATGTGGAATTACTAATCCGGGATGCATTACAATTAATCTGCGCTGAAACCAAACCCACAAAACAAGTACAGACACTCACTTCACTTCTGAGGAGTTGCTCTGCTTTGCTTCTGTTCGTATTTCTGCAGTACCACCTGAAGAGAAAAGATATGTGTAAGGCCTTGGGTTTTAAAAATTATTCTTTACTCTTTTTGGAATTAGCCAGGTAATACTGCTCATCAAAAACAAACACGGTAAGTAAGGATAAAACATCATTCATAATCTCAGTGACATAAACCACCACTAGTAGCATCTGGATGTCCACACTTGCAGACGTTTCCCATCCATATTTTTATGAAGACACATATACACCGACATTCTTACTTTTTTGTTAAAGTGGAATCAAACTATACTGGCTAGATCAGAACCTGAATTTTTCATATAACAGTATATGACAGACATCTTGGCAAAGCAATATAGTCTGTGCAGCATGGTCTGGATGTGCCACAATTTATTTAAGCAATTCTTTATTATTTAACACAAAAATCATATTACCGTAACAGCAAGAATGAATTTTACTCCATAGACTCAAATACGCAGGAAGTGTTATTTTATATTATTGTCTTTCATTCAAATTAAATCTAATCCCAAGCCCCCACCCCACCAACAGGCAGGAGATTCCGTATCACGTCGTTACTAAGGCTCCCTCACTGAATTTCACAAAGGTCTCAAGTGTCGAAAGAAACGGAAGCAAAACAGAAGAGCTGACTTCCTGCATCTTCCAGACTTACTGGTTCTAACACAGCCCTAACCCCCACCCCCAGCAGTCATCCAAAACTCTACTGTGGGAATCCCACCAGGACCAAGCAGTGGTACCTGTCCTCCACCAGGTCCTGCCACCACTATGTGCCACCACCCCAAGCCCCTGCATATGGTGTCCCTTCTTTATCCTTGGGAAATCTTTCCCAGGGAGAGAGATGCTGCCCTCTCCCTGCTTCCCAGAGCATACTCTCTCCATGGGTTATAAGCCAGCAGGCCAAAGAACATGAACTCAGACTGTTTCCTTTGGCCTTCAGCTTTGAACTTGGACCCAGTTGTTTTGTTTGTTTGCTTTAGATGGCCTTTAGTGGACAGAGAACCCTCCACCACAGTCATAATTCCTGAGGCTTCCAATGAAGCCTTTATGAAACCAGCTGGCCCCTCTAAACGTATGAATTTTCCAGCACTGTTTCAGCCTTTTATGAAAGAACCAGCACCTGCTTTGGGCCCAGCAAACACCCTGAGACAAGGGAACATAAAGGCCTTCCCTGATCGAGGAAGGCCAAAATACAAAGAACAAAATACAAGTTATTTTTTGGTCTGGATTCTTTTATGCAGTTGTAGTGGCCCAAACTCAATCCAAACCGACAACTATTATTTTATTTGGAGCCTGAAGTGATTCACCAGGCCTCAAAATTGTGGGTATTGAAATGTCATTGCTGTGGACCCCACTTTCTGCACTGAGACCAAATTCAACAAAACTGCAGTTCTGATCAATTTCTGAATGCAACTGAGAAATGTGACAAGTGAGGAGAACAGAGTGGATTCTGTCCCAAAAACATTTCTGTTGATACAAGAAGTATTTGTCAGAACACCAAAACAGTCATAAAAATTAATTAAAGAAAGGCAACTGGAGCCCTCATTATGTATTATGAACCAGCAGGGCCTGAAAGATTGAAAAAAAAGTTCTCAGTATTAATTACAGGAGTGCCAACTCCACACATTCACAGTGAGGGTAAGCAATGGAGGTTTTGTCCCATATTCAGACGCAAGAAATCAGTAACCTAAATTGTGGCTTTCAAGAGGAAATCAGATATAAGACACCCAGAAGTAAAGAGGTCCTTCCCTCATCTCTGCTGTATTCAAGCTCCTGGGAAGGGGTGAAGGAAACAAGAAAAGGAATCTACGGCACAAAGGGCAGGCTCTGTGAAAAGAACCTCTGCTCCGATGGGTCCTTTTTATGGTATTTGTAGGTTCCCCGATGCTTTCCCTCCACAGGATATACACTCAGACCCTAAAGGATCTGTTGACGGAAGGAAAGCAGGAAGGCATGATGAACAAATCAAGAGATGAATCAACGCATGGTGCGTATGTCCTAACGGTTCTGCGCGGCCTCTCTCCCTCTTCTAAGACACCCACTGGCAGGCATTCGGGGAAAGACAAGAGCGGCTCTACTGAGTCGTCCTGTTGGGAAGAACCACACCCCCAGGCAGAACATGAAGGAGCCCACGTGGTGAGCAGAGGGGAGCTGCCGCCCAGATGCCAGCCCGCGTGCGTCTCTCACGAGCACATCACAGAAACACCTGTTGGAGGCTAGTCAGCGCCTTTTGCGGAAGGAACGACAGGCCTCCAGAAAGACTGCCTAGGACTCGTAAGTAACTTGTCATTCTGTTCCTAGATATCAAAACCCTACTGTGAAGGGGGTTTTTCTGTCACTGCAAACACTCCGGAGGAACAGGGCTTCACAGTGTGTCTGAAGAGAGGGAAGAGGGAGATTTGGGGACCCTTAGTCCTTTCTGGAAAGGATGGATCTGGGCCAGGCTTCTAGGGAGACTGGCTTGGGTAAACCATAAAAAGAAGAAACAGGTATAAAAGAATGAAAAGTAGAAAACCAACCAACAAGCTATAAGTCTTTTGTCGGTTCTCAGTCTGGCCCTTGTCCCCTGATCACCCACTCCAAGCCTGATCCTGGACTTTCCCTGTTCTAAGGGCCCTTTCCCTCCCATCACCTGCTTCCTTTAACATGTTTCCATCGGAACCTCTTGCTGACTACCACGATGCGCCCACTTTCTTTCCTGCAGCACTTCCTCTGTTCCTCTCCTCCCCAAACTGGGACCTGGGTGCGGAGGTCAGAACTAGCTTTCCTACAGCCCCAGGAGCGACAGGCCAGCAGCCCTGAGTCCTGTCCCAGGGGACAGTCAGTGCCTGGGGCTCCTCCTAGGCCCAAATGAACAGGAGAAGGGCTCTGGATTCAGCAGCTGGCAAAAGCGTTTTTAACCCTGGAGACATTTAAGACGTGTTAGAAGACGAACTTCAACAAAAGCCAACACAAACCACGGAGTGGGAAGACAGCAGGAGAAGATGTGGACTCTGTGAGCACGGAGAACAGATTTTTTCCTTTCTCATCTGGCCAGGCCTGGCTCAACGCCACATGGAATCCCCACCCCTGGGCAGATGGCTGAGGGGACTCTCACAGCACATTCACTTAGCCATACAGAGCTAGAGTCATGCACATAAAACATGCATGGCAATGAATCAGAAACTTCCCAAAACCCTAATCTAATCCCATGAGTCATAAGGGGAATTCTCACACTTAAATAGGGATTATTTGGTTTTCGAGCACACTCCCTCCTCAAATTACCAGTTAGCTCTCAGTCAGATCACTTTGAAATCAGGCCCAAGTTTTCATCTTTCAGCGTCTTCCCTAATTCTGAGGATTTGCTATAGTTTTCTTAAAAAAAATTTTTTAACTGAGTTACTGGTGACTGAGCCCAGGACCTCACGCATGCTAAGCACACAGTCTACCACTGAGCTATACCCTCCCCACTCTATTTTTAGTTATTTAAGGAATCTCCATACAGTTTTCCATAGTTGTATCTTCTTGAAATTTATTTAAGAACAGAAATACCGTTTTATTTATGGGTTTTATACCCTCACCTACTTCTAAAACTGCTTTGCGCGGTCACACCACTGGTGCTATGACTTTTGCATCTCTTCATCCTTCTCTGGGGCTCACATGACAGGAAGTGACATGGACAGAGGAAACAGCTTTGCGTGGGTAGTGGTGGTAATGGTGTTGTTTTTAAAGAAGTGAATGAAGCATTAATGCCTCACCTCAGAATGACCACAAAAGAGTATTTGGTATATATAAGCCTCTCACTCAAACCTGGCCATGCACTGCTAGGGGGCATATAAATGGCAGCCCATTGCTCTCTCTGAGAAGTAATTTGACAGCATGCATTAGGGTCTGAAGAAGTTCATGTTAGCCTTTATCCCAGTACATTGATTTTTACAGACCCAGTTTAAGACGGTAAGCAAGACAAGGTATCTCAGTATTTTTATACAGCCAAGATGCTTAAACAACATAATGCAGGGGGGAGGGTATAGCCCAGTGTGTGCCTAGCACGCACAAGGTCCTGGGTTCAATCCTCAGTACCTCCATTAAAAATAAGTAAATAAAAACCCAATTACCTCACCCCTCCAAAAAAAAATTATAAACAAATAAATTTAAAAGAAATATTTTTTTAAAAACAACATACTGCCACACAAATAAGGAAGTGATTATATAAATTATTGCACATCCACGCACCAGACGCCCGATTGTGCCCCCTGTGGCCTAGCACACTGCCGGACACATGCTAAAGTCTCAGATGATATCCGAAGAATTTACGACTGAGTGAAATATAATGCAGTTATGAAAGTGTTTTCAAAGAATATTTAATGGCATGAGGAAATACTCAACACTCATAATATGCTGTCAAGTAAATTAAACAGGATCTAAAACAGTATATACAGCATGATTCTGGTTTTTCTGAATAGTAAAAAGACTGAAAGAAAATACATCAATTTGTTGACAGAGGTCAATTCTGGTAGATTTATCAGTAATTTTTCTTATTAACATTTTTCGTATTTTCAAACAATTTTAAAACAATAATCACATGCTGTCATTATAATTAGAAAGAAGAAACCATTAAACCTTTTTTAAAGGCCACTCTGGGAAGCTGTATTTTGATTTCTTAAATGAATAAACAATCATCCACATTTCAAAGTTGGCTAAGCTGTGATTTGTTTAAAATCCATTCAGCTGTATTTGCTTCTGTAATTCCATTCACACACAGTACCTTCAGGTAAAGAGTATTATAGAAACCAACTCTCACCACGTTTTTAACCTCTCTAGACAAATGAGTGAAGGATAATTTAGGACCACCTTCTAAGGATGATGGAAGATAACCATTAATCTCCAAAATGCCTGACATAATTAGGAAAATAAAAACATTTTCTGGATCTCCACATTCACAAAATAATCTTTTACTTACTCATACTGATCTAAGTTGTTTGACTTCTTTCCTGTTACATAATTACTTGGGATATATCCTTCCCTCCTAGAAATAAGAAAAATACTTTAGAAAAACTGAAATTATTTTACTGACAGATTATTAAAAGAAAAATTATTCCCTTTCTGAAATAATTAAAGTGTAATATTGCCGGAAGTCTAGGTGACTCCCAATAATCCAACAGATCTATAGCATTTGATGCTTTTCAAAGGCGTTCCTCATCTGATCCTCACAAAAATTCTGAGGTAGCAGGTACTACTGTAACCACTTTCTGGTGGGGAAACCAGGACTTAGAAAGGATTAAGGGACTTTCTCAAAGTCCCAAAGCCAGCCAGCAACAGGGCCAGAACCTGAACTCTGAACTTGTGACTAGGTTCAGAGTCCTCCCTAATATTCCATGATGCTTCTCTTGAATTCATAATTTCTTGGGATGTTTTAAAGAAACCACTACTTCAGAAAAGGTGACATGTTGGGTAAAAACACCCATCACTCCAATACTTGGTCTGCGCAGTGCGCTGTTTCATGGCAGGTGACCCCTGACCTCTACAGCAGTGTCATCGGGGGCACTTGTCAAAAAGGCAACTCCTGGGTCCTACCCCAAGGGAGCTAACTGAGAAGGCCTGTGTGGGGCTGAGGAATCTTGTATTTCACCCCAGTGACTCCTAAGCACATCACAGTTTAAGAAGCAATCTCAGTAGGTAGAATCTTGGTTGGCGCTAAGACTTTTAGCATAAAAGAGATACGTGTATAAAATTTCTAAGTTGAGTAAAAGCCTTGTAATATTAAATGTGAACTATTACTAAGAACTCATAACACACACACAAGTGCATGTACATGGCTCTGCTGCCCTGAGAAAGGCCTAGAATCAATGACAACCCAGCAGCAGCTAGAAGCCCCCAACTGCTGTCTTCAAATACTACCCCGGCTGAAAGGGGCCAGCACTCCCTGGGGAAGCGGCACATCGCGGGTCTGGCCGGGAAACTACAGGGTGACCTTGAGCCATTTCATTTTATTCAGGAAACAGGGAGGCTGAGAAAGAAAAACTAAAGGGGTTCCCAATCAAAAACGGCCACCACTGACCTAAGATGTGACAATTCAGGCAAAAAGCAAAATGACTGCAACAGACTGAAACTCTAAGAACACTTAGAACATGATTGGTTCCCAATGTTATCAACAGAGGAAGCTCCGTCATCAACTTGTGATTCTGACAAGTGGTAAAGAGGAAGGATCCAAATCTTATCTTGCCTCTCCTGTGTGAACTAAATGAACTGCTTCCTGAGGCAGGGCTTCTTTAGAGAATTAATAAATGCAGATGGAATGACACAATTAGAAACTCACCATTCTGTTATCCCTAATGAAATATGGATCTAAGGAATGGTCATTAGGTGCAACGCTGATGAAGAACTTTATGACGGAGGAATAAGGTTGACACCGGAACCACTGAGCAATCCTGGCATCATTAGAAGTAGGACAGCCTGACGCCGGCTTCTAATGTGATCAAGCCTGCAGATCACAGTTTTTGAGAAATGCAGGACACAGTGACATATTAAATGACACCATGTGCTTCCACACAAGTAGCTTAATCTAGACTGTGGCTCATTTCATAGAGTAAATGACCTGGTTTCATCAATAAATCGGAAACTATAAATTAAAAAAAAAAAAAGGATGAGGACTATTGTGGAATAACAAAGGTACATAAGAGATACAGCAGCCAAAATGCAAGGTGTGGACCTTAATCTTGATTAAACTTTAAAGATACGTACTTGAGCTAGTCGGGGTAACGAGAATTACACAGCTGGTGCCACCCTTAGACCTAGGCCAGAGTGGCCCCTGCTGTAACCCCGTGCTTTCAAGATGCTGAAACCCATGATCCCTCAGCCCTCCTCTGGACCATCATCTAGGTAACTAGGAGCCCAGAATTCTCTGCCCACTGCCAAGGCCTACCTGGGCCTTTCCACTGGGTTTCATCCACTGAAAAGCAAATGATGCTGGTCATGTGCACCCCTCCAGCCCAGGTCCAAGGAGTGGCCAAGCTGGGGGGTGGTTTTTGCAAGCAACATGGACAGAGGTTGGATGTGTGGCCAGGAGAGCCACATGGTGCATGTGAGATGGAGCCTGGACAGAAGGGGAGAGAGAAGGGAGGCACCCCAGGAAGCCAGCCCTCTGTGCCCTGTCACATTCTGGCAGGGAAGTCTAATTCACATCTGGCATTCCTTGTCATTTTCAAGGTATGTTTGTCAAGTTAGAGGTGAAATTGTACTTATCAGTTTGTTACTTGTTACTTATAACTTCTAAATATTTAGACATACAATGTCTAGGCTTTCATTTGTACTCTTCTTCTAGTCCCAAAATATTGGGGGAAGTCAGAAACAGTATTTTTTTTAACTATCATTAAGTATGATACTAACACAACAGCTATTTTTTAAAAAATCTTTAGCAGTTAGACTTAGGGGGTGAAATGGCATGATGATTTGAATTGACTTTTAAATACTCGAAAAAACAAACTGGGAGGATTGGATAAATCAAGGCTGGAAAATGTGGGTAATTTCTAAAGTCAAGTGACAAGAGACTCTATTATACTGCTGTGTACTTTCATGGACATCTGAAAATTTCTGTAATAAAAAGTTACAATCAATCTTCTACAGTGTTTGGCAAAAAAACACAAAACAAACAAACAAACAAACAAAAAACAGTGATGACCTTCTTGTAAACATAGATTAAAAGGGTCCCCAAAAGGTAATACTGCACAGCAAACAAGCACTCAGCAGATCCACCACTGCTGAGAAGTAAGCAGAAGACACAGTCCCTGCCTGATGCAGAGGCTTCCATTGCTTCTCCAGAATTGACCAGAGGAACACAGAACTGGAGCTCGGGGTGGGGCAGGAGGTGAGAAAGAAGACTAGCAGGGAGGGTGTGCTCTGAACAGGACAAAGAGGCCTCCTCTTCTTATTCACAGGAACTTAAAATATAAACAGGATCATATGTCAGAGGTAAGCATGGGATAGAGTTTTCTTAATGAAGCCTTAGATACTCATCCCCTATGTTTATCCACATTTACCCATATGTACCAATAAAAAGGTTGAAAGGACTGTCCCCTTTAAATCCTAAATTAGTATGTATAAACAATTCTCATTTTTAAATTTACTGAATGTATGTATTTTAGACTAGACACACACACACACACACATTCCCTCTCTCGGACAAATCTAAGATTACTTATTTACCTGGGGCGGGGGGATGGGAACCTAAAATGTAATTTCCCCCAAGATCAAAACAATCCAGTTAAACATACAATGGATGAGGAAAAAAAACATAAAATGGATTGTAATTTCTGGAAAGAAGTGGTTAATCCATTTACATTTATTGAGTCACTACTAAGAATACATTGTGTTACTGCAAAGTAACGTGCACTTTAATTTACAGCTGCTGAACTAGTCTCATTAAATGATAGTTACAGATTATCCTCTTCTCAACTCAGTATTTAACTCCCAGCCACCCACTGTGTATCATCCACAGAGAGGGAATACGTACCCATATTTATCTCTTGCTTTCCACCAATGAACATCATTCTTTTCTAATATGATATACTCCTGACCTCTCTCTAATCTGAGATCGTGAGGTTCTGTTGCTTGAAAATCATACATGGCTACAACTATTTCTTCACTATTATCTTCTTCAGGCGGAATTGGTGGGGGAGGCCTTCGCTGAGAAAAACAGATAACGTGTAAAAGTTTAGTCTTCTGTTTGAAACTGGGTGTGAAGTTCAACACTAAACGATGCACACATCACCACAGAATACAGCCTACCTAAGGTAATCTGGTGAGCCCTCCCATGAGTTTGGTGATGACGATGCTACTGGACCTCTCATGGGTTTCAGAATATAGGACAAGAGCAAAAGCTGTCTTTAAACACCAAAAGGCATCTGCTCAGTATCAGGGCTAGCTTTCCAGGGAGAAGCAAGGGTAGCACGAGTAGAAACCAGAAGGACTAAAGGCAGACCCACCATTTAATAGTCTGCAGTGGGAAAGCGCACTACAGAGTAGTCTCTCATCAGGCCTCCTCCCACTCCAAGGAATTTGCACTTCTTTGTGCCTACTATGTGCAAGGCACACTCGTAGTACCTAGCACACTTTTTGTCATTTATTCTTAATACTGAGCCCATGAAGTAGGGTATATAATTCCCATTTTACAACTGAGGAAACAATGGCTTAAGTAACCCACCATATCAGATTCACATTGGATCAAGTCCTGTCTGGGTCCAGAGTACATGCATTTTCTACCATACTCCACTCTTCCAAGGCATATCATTTAATCACTGAAGTCACTCCTTTGCCACAATACTGTGGTCCTAAGACTGAAATATTCCTTAAAAGATCCACACTTCCTGTGTAATTCTTGAAGCCAAAATCTGGCAAAATGCAAGATGATAAAGAGGGTCCCCAATGATATATAATCCAATTAAATGATAAAGCTTGACACAAAGAAAAAACCCAGTAAGCCATAGTATATCCATTTCTGATATGATCCTTGCAGTGGGGAGCATTGCATGAATAATATAAACATACTTGATAAGCTGCAAATGCTTCCAAAGGTTAAAAACCACTTACCTTCTTTATTTCTGGTGCTGGTGTTCGAGGTAGTGCTTTTCTTATACCTGAAAATAACAACAACAACAACAACAAAAATAGGTCAAAATTCCACCCGCCAATGACTGACACTTTTAAGGAAAAATAAAAACGAAACCATAACGAGAAGCCCACCCTGACTCTCTCACTGTGGGGCACGTTGCTTGTATTCCTATTTTAGAACAGAACTTTAAAATGCAAGCTGGTTTGTCCTTCTGCCTTCCTAAATTGACTGTAAAAGCCATAGGGATTAGGAGGCCCGTGTTTCATGCTTTGTAAACAAGTGGGACTATATCAAATTAAAAAACTTCTGCTCAACAAAGGAAACCATCCGCAAAATGAAAAGGCAGTCTACAGAAGGGGAGAAAATCACTGTAAATCACCTATCTGACAAGCGGTTAATATTCAAAGTATACAAGGAACTCATACAACTCAGTAGCAAAAAAAAAAAAAAAAAAAAAGAAAAGAAAAAGTAAATATATAACAATTAAAAATGGGCAAAGGACATAAAGAGACTTTTTTTAAAGAGGACATACAAATAGTCAACAGGTATATAAACAGGTACTCAAAATAACTAATAATCAGGGAAATTCAAATAAAATTATATTATCAACTCATACGTATTAGGATGACAATTATCAAAAACACAAGTGGTAACAAATGCTGGTGAGGATGTTGGGAAAAGGGAACCCTTGTGCACTGCTGTTGGGAATGTAAATTGGTGTGACCACTATGGAAAAGAGTATGGAGGTGCCTCAAAAAGTTAAAAATAGAACTACCATATAATCCAGCAATCCCACCTCTGGGTATATACATAAAGGAAACAAAATCAGTACCTCAAAGAGATATTTGTACTCTCATCTTCCCTGCAGCATTATTCACATGGTATGGAAACAACCTAAGAGTCCATCAACAGATGAATGGATAAAGGAAATGTGGTGTACACACACACACACACACACACACACACACACACACACACACAGAGGAATATTATTCAGCCTTTAAAAAAGAAAAGAAGGAAATCCTGTCATTTGCAACAACACGAATGAACTTGGAGGGCATTATGCTAAGTGAAATAAGCCAGACAGAGAAGGATAAACACCACATGGTATCACTTATCTGTGTAATCTTAAAAAAAAAAAAAAGTCAAATTCATAGAAATAGAGTGAAAAATGGTTGCCAGGGGCTGGTAGGGAGGGTAGAGGAAATAGAGATGCCAGTAAAAGGGTATAAACTTTTAGTTATAAGATTAATAAGGTATGTTAATTATAACTCAATTTAAATCTATATATAGCAGAAAAAAGATAAATGAGGTCTGAGTATCTAATGTATTACATGGAGACTTGAATTGATAACACCGTGACGTACAACTTAAGTTTACTAAGAGAGTAGAATTTAAATGTTCTCTCACACGCACACGCACACGCACACACACACACACACACAAAGGTACACGTATGAGGTGATGGTGTTAATTAACTTGATAGGAGGAATCCTTTCCAACGGGTAAGGATACTCAATCATCACATTGTAAAATTGTTAAACGTTACAGTTTTGTTAAGTATACCTCAGTAAGGCTGGGGACAAAAAGAAAAAGAGAAAAGCTGTTGAGAGTGCTAAACTAGGCTCACACTTGTAACAGTCATTTTTAGCAGGTTTTCATATTGTGATAAAAACTCCCAATGACAGACCTCTTGAGTCCACGAGACGGTCACACTGCTAACTAAATGAAATTATTCTTACAAAGTACATCTACCCTGCATTTATGCTGTGCTAGAAAGTGTGAAAGCCATATTTAACCAACATAAAAATCAAAATCATGTCATTTTCTTGCTATACCAATAATATGTACATCCTGAGCATAATAAAGTACAGAATAAAAGGAATACTCACTACTCTCAAAAAGATTATATTTTTCACATCCAGGTGCTAGTTTTTCAGTTTGTCTGCAACACTGATAACTTCCATCTGTCCAAAATTTAGGATGATATTTGATCATAATATTATTGTTGTTCTTTATTTCTGTAAGTCATAGACACATAAAGTGATTAGAGAAATAAAACAGAGATGACAGAATGTTTCATTAAGTAACACTGTTGGTCATTTTTTCTTTCTTAGATACCATGTTTATTATAACGACACTCTCATAACATTAGGGTGTTATCACACTCAGAAAATTCACATGGTTTTCTTTCACTTCTTTTTTTTTTTTTTTTTTTTTGGTGAGGGTCCCTGGTTGGCAGAAGTGAACTCTGCTGCACCATGATGGATAAACAGAAAAGTCAGCCCACCACGATTTTGTTCTGCAGAAGAAGCGATGAAGATTGTGCAGGACAAATCACCGATTAATACACTTTACACATAAGTCAGTTCATCCAAAACACATGTTGACTTCATAGGCAATGTCTTAGAAAATACCAAATTCTGCTATCATAGAGGCCCAGTGCTTAGTCACCTCCTATTGTGTTACATGTTAAATGAAAGCATGTTTTTCTTAGAAACTTAGCAACCAAATTATAAAAAAGGAAGGACACATCTCCGATACGTCTCTTACAGTAACAGAATTTCCTTGGAGAAACACTGTAGATTGAAAGATTAGAAATGCAGAGCACACTAGCCGTGTTTATATTTTAGTGATAACAATGTTATATCTTAACATTTTAAACAGATTAATATTTTAATATATGAGTTTTACCTTCTTTCAATTTCTTCACCCACCGATCCCTGCTTTGTGCACTGGGTGCAAAAATGTAAAGTGTGTTAGCATCATGCACAACCTGAAATAAAACAAAAGATGGGATAGGTGAAAAATACTTCGACACGGCACTTCTGCCCAGCACAGGGCCCTTGGCACCACAGGTGCCAATAAAGGATTCTGAAACGACTGAGTAAAAGTCAATTACTTCTGATCCAAACAACCTAGGTTCCCTTCTTACAAAAGCACATCTGTTTCTTCATGTCTACATCAAGTGAGATACATATTTTGCAAAGAACTGTGTTTTTATGAAAGAAAAATATATATACAGAGGACAGGATGCTTTGCCAGTCTCGTCGTTTCTTTGGATCTAATTAACTAAAGTTCCTCCGGTGCACTTGGTACAAGGATTACTCCAACCCAATACTTTTCTAAATAATATTTTAAATGAATGGACTACTCCTTACATATCACTCCTGACCTTCCTTCTGCCACTATAAGTAATCGGAGTATCTAGCTTTATTAAACTCTATACTTCGTACTTTACAGACATGAACTCAATTAATCCTGCCATCAAGGTGTTGGCATTTCCATCATACAGAGGAGGAGACGAAGAGCCATCCACAGATCCTCTACTCCTATACAGAACTCCAGGAGGTACCATTCATACAGAATGCACTGGAAATGGTGCCCTTAATTTATCTGCCCATCAGCATTTGGCTGTTCATCCAGAAAGCCAGGATCCTGATGTCAGAGGAGGCAAGTAGCTCTATACGAGCAGAAAAAGGGGGACACGGGCCAAATGGCAGGAAACCACACATCTTGTTAACAACAGGGGTCCTTAGGCAGGCCAAGAAAAGCAGGAACCTCTGGACTGATAAGAAATCAGACACTGTGGGTTGACAAGTGTCCTGGAGGCAGACAAAGAAAGGTGGGACAAGACAGGAATCTCCACCATCCAAATGTAACCTCTCTCTCATTACACCCCTATCTGAACGTACCCTTCCACTCATTATGCTCTCATCTGACTTCTCAATCAAGACTAAATCAGGACAAAACACCCCCCCCACCTTGGGAATGTGGATCTGCACAAAGATCGGGAAAGATGACCTCAAACCCCTCCTCACCAACGAATATTCAATCCATTCATTTTTACATCCCATACAACCAACTTGGCAAGGACATTCGGGGCAGCTACCCACCTGCGTCTGCCCGCTCTCCCCTTGAGAGAGTACCACCTATTGCTCAATAAATCCTTGCTTTGCTTTCTTGTTCTCTGTGTCTCATTTCTGAATTCTTTCTGCGACAAGACAAGAACCTGCTCTCCAATCACACTGACTCCAGAGTCCAAACTTTTAACCACAGAAACCTCTTTTAAAAATACCTCCTAGTGAGCAGTTACAGTCTTATGCTTAATGTTTTTAATATGAATAATAAAATTAAGCATAGGAAACTAACCCAAGAATTTTGTCTTTGGTCTGTCAATTTACCCTTCTGTCACAGGGCACAAACACCTTTGATTCACTAAAAAGAAATATCTGGCTAGAAACCTCCCTTAACCACATCAACAGTCACTGGACTGGACACAAATAGTTCTTCCATTGATAAATGGCTGCTTCTGACCATATTCAATAGATAATCCCTTCTCGTTCACTTTAATCAAATAAATGCAATCTAACAGCAACGTGAACACCACAGAGCAAATACGCCTGTATTTCATTCAGTGATTAAGTCATCTAACTAGCACTTTGCTGGGACTACATAAAATACAAAAATAAATCAAAGAAATACCTTATTACAAGACAGAAGGTGAGACGTGACAAAGACATAAAGATCAAGCGCTACGAGAGATGTATTGGGGAGGAGGTGTCCATTGCCTCAGTTGGCCCATGATTTTCACACCTGTGATATTGTGGTTTACAACAGGAAATACGTATTTGGTCTCTGCCCTGGTTCTTGGCACAGAGTTTCTAAAAACTCTTGGAATTTCCTGTACTGAGAATGATAAAAGGTGTCTTTTGTTATGCTAATAAGGTGACTTTGGGAGAGCACCTACAGAGGGAAGCTGGTTGTCAGAAAAACTAACCCTATGATTAGAAGGTTGGAACTTTCAGTCCCACGACCCCCCCATCTCCAGGGAGGGAGAGGGGCTGTAGGTTGAGTTCAGTCATCAATGGACAGTGATGTAATCAATCGTGTATATGTAATGAAGCCTCTATAAAAACCCAAAAAAGAAGGGTTCCATGAGCCTCCAGGTTGGAACATGTGGAGATGTCCGTAGACAGATGAGTGGATAAAGACAATGTGATACACACCCACACACACACAGATATATACACACAATGAACTATTACTCAGCTTTTAAAAAGAAGAAAATCCTGCCACTTGTGACAACATGGAGGAACCTAGGAGACATTCTGCTAAGTGAAATAAACCAGGCACAGAAAGATAAATATTACATGATCTCAGATGTGGAGTTTTAAACAAACTTATAGATACACAGAGCAAAAAAGTGGTTGCCAGGGGTAGGCAGGAGGGTTGAAATGGGGAGATGGTGGTCAAAGGGTAGAAATTTCAGTTACGTAAGACGAATGAGTTCCGGACATATAAAGTACGGCATCGTGACTACAGTTAACATCTGAAATTCAATAAGGTAGATCTCCAGTGTTTTTACCACCAAAAAAAAAAAAAAAAAAGTACGGGGAGAAAATGGTAACTACGGGAAGTGATGCATATGTTAACTGGCTTGTTAGTGGCAATCATTTCACAATGTCTACATATATCAAAACATCAAATTGTACACCTTAAATATATCTATTTCTTACGTGTCAATTTCACCTCAGCAAAGCTTAAAGAAATCAACCAATAAAGCAATGACAAGAAACTCTAATGTCAAACAGTAACCATGACTAAAACCCCAGAATTTCACTGCTGCAAAAATATGCCAGCTCACCTGAAATGGATATTTATTTTGACAAGGAATGACACCATCATCATTCTTCACTATTTCCACACACTTGATTTTTGAAATGTCAATAAAACCCTTTCTGTTCTTTTTCTGTTAAAAGAGAAAAAAAGGAGAACCATTACAATCATAAGATAAAAGAAAAAATGTTAATAGTAATATTTGTTTTAAAAAAATCAGATTCAAAACATTACCATTTCCTTAATAATTACCTACATCATGTCTCCCTTTATTGTTAAAATGATTCAAAACACTAACACTCTGAGGATTGTAATAAAAATAATTAAGTCCTTTAATTTCTAAAGATGAAATTGTTCTGTCCTTGCCCTATCCCCAAAGCTCTAGAACTGAGGGACTCCCTCTGATTGCTGCCTTCCTCTCTCACACACACACCTTAGCTTCTCCAGCTTCTTGATGACAGTCCCATAAAAGAAAGCGTCAGAGACCAAACTAAGCAAAACTCCATGCACTCAGTCACAGATGCAAACTCCAGACAGTTACATCTTCCACTCTGGTACCCAGAACTCAGGAGGATGTGAGGCGGACTTAGGGCATTCACATAAAGCCTCCATTCAGACTCGATTTTTGAATCTTCTTTTTTTTTCCCCCTTCCCTTTGGCCCTCACTCCCTGCTCACTGCAAACCTCCCTACAGCAAGTAACTAGTGACATACCAAGACATCCCCCTCCAAATCATTCCCACCCTTGAGCACGGTCTTCTCAGATCTGAGACTTTATCCCAGGGAAAAACCAAAAGAATACGAAGTAGTATGTGCAAAGGTCACTCGATACATTGTTTCCATTAAAAATCACCACAAACACAATGCAGAAATAAAAAATGTTTATTGAATAATATTAACTGATACATCCCACATGAAAAGCTGTATAAAGACTCAGGTTACTTGGGGGGAGGCTAGATACTCATATAATAAAGAACAGAAGGAAAGTAGAGAAATGAAGAAGAACACTGCAGTATTTGGGATGAGCCAGCCCATCCCCTGGCCCTGGGCATTCAAAATTCCTTCATCTAATACTCTGAAACCCCCCTCTGGCCACAACCTTTGGGGCCTCTACCAGATCTGCACGCCCACTGTCACCACAGGACTTTCAGACCTGCCAACCCTCTCAGGCCATCAGCTCCCATTTGACTGGACTATCTGGCTGTCCTTTCACTAGTGCATCCTCTCTCTCTCTCTCTCTCTCTCTCTGTCACACACACACACACACACACACACACACACACACACACCCCATACCCCCCTGACATTTCTGTCAGCTCCCAGTTCTACCCACACCTTCCCCCTCCTCCTGCATGCCTGACCGCACAAGGTCACAAAATAATCCTGTCCTCTCTGTGCTTAGCCAGGCCTTCCCTGCCATCCTCGGTTCTTCTGCGTACCCTCCATGGAGACCACCAGTCTCGTCGGAACTGCAAGCCCTGCCCGTTCCCCTCGCCCCAGCGGACACGCTCCCTCACTACTTCGTGGGGACGAGAGCAGCCGGACGTCCCATGAGCACACCCTGGACTTCCTCCTTCAGCAGGCCAAAAGCACCCTAAGATCTACTCTTTTTTATTCTTTTCCACCCTGTCTTTCAGAGGACACTAAAAGCACACAACAGTTAAAGACACTGTAGCTGGCACTTAGCAGCTGCCATTTCCTTTTATGCTCACGATTCTCCTCATTTTACAGATGAGGAAACTGCAGCTCAGACAGGTTAAATCCATTACCCAAGGATCCCAACTGGCCCTAGAGCCCCCTGGACCTTGGATCCTTGCAAACAGGTGACAGGACTAACAGAGCTGAGTCCCTGGGAAGACAACACTGAGTCTGAGAGCGGCCAGAGCTTCGGCCATGACAGGGAGAGGGCCATTCTCCCCGTGCGTTCTTCTAAGGCCTCTACTCCTCCTGCCGACCCTACCCAGCGCCTTCTTCTGGCCCTGCTACTGCCCTTCCCTTCCCGAAAGAGAAGATGATTACACCCTCAGCCTTCACTTCCTTCCCACCCCTCCTCCTTAACCACTTGCGAGCTGCCTCCCCCTCACCACAGCTGCTAAAGCTGTTCTCAAAAACATCACCAATGACCAAACCCAACGGCCTCAGCTCAGCTGTCTTCCGCCCAAGCCTTTGAGGCACCTGGGGGTACTTCCACTCTCTTCTCTCTCAGCGGCCTTGACTTTGGGTCACCCTGGTTCTCCTTCTGTGTCTTCCCCTCAGTTTCTCACAGGACAACACCTCTCCTGTGCCAGAAACTTCCTGTGTCAAGGAATGCAGATTCCAGACAGGGAAAGCTCACTTGCTGAGCGTACAGCCAAGTAGCGTGCCATTCAATCCTCACAGCTCCTCTGTGAGGTATGCGTTATTAGACACATCTTACAGAAGGAAGAAAGGAAAATTAAGTAACTTGTCCACGTTTACACAGTAGAGACATACACAGTAACTGTTTATTACACAACGTATTAAGTACTGGATATAAAAAAGATGCTAAGAGAATACAGAGGAACCCAGGCTTATATGACACTTTCAGAAAAGAAATTCTGATAACCTGTTAGGAAGGAAATGAACAGCATGGGGAAAGAAAAACATATTCCAGAATGACCTCAGTTGCCTCATCTATAAAATGGGAACAATACTAGTATCCACGTCATTGATACTATTGGACAGTTATGTGAATTAAATGAGTGTTTGCCAAGTGCTTAGAAGAATGTTTGACCCGTAATATGATATCTGTGTTTGCTACATAAAATAAATAAGGAAATAAATAAGGAAAAAAAGGTGCCTGAGGCAGGATGGAAGAGGGGTCAGCTTGTAAAGAACCTGATGCACGGTGCCAAGGGGTCTCGTCAGACAAGGCCACCCACCCTGCTCCTGGGCCTGTGCCAGTTAGTGGGCAGAAGAAACCGCCAGAGGACTAGCTTCCTATTAATAAGCCACGCGTGTTCATCATAAAAATCTAAGAAAACACTAACAGCACAAAGAGAATCAAATGACCCCTAATCCCCCAGTCCTGGAGAAAATCACTGCTGACATCATGGAGTTTTTCCAGACACTGCTCTGGGGTCATCTATTATCTGCCAGCTCCCTTAGCCCTTGAGCAGCAGACTCTGGTCAGCTTCCAAGACATGCATCTCCACTCACCACCTGCCCCTGCGACTGAAAGCAGCTGTCAGATATGGATCAATCTGCACAGGAAAACCTGGGCTGACTTATGCCCCCCAAATTCATGTTTTGTGATATATAATCCATTCATGCACTGTACTGATATTTGGGCTTATTACTGCAAATACTTTACTATGAAGTTTGCAGATAAAGGTTCATATTTAAGTGGCCCATTCATTATTTTACCTGACTCACCAGCAACACTGGTCAGACACCAGGCACAATGCTGCATGCTGTAGCTTCAACACCGTGGAAGGGGGTTGAGGGTTCCCTCAGAGGAGTTCACAATCTATGGCGGGTGGCAGCGGAAGAGGGGATTGATTCATTATCAAATAAAGATGAAGTCATGTGTGCTCACAGTGCACTGTGGAGTGGGGCCAGGACTGGGCCAGGAGAATCTGGGGAAGTTTCAGGGAGGAAGTCACATTTTGATTTGGTTCTTAAAGGATACGTAGGAGTTTTCCTATAGAGAAAGTGGAGAAGAGAATTCAGGCAGCAAAAACAACAAAGCAGTGCTTTAGGGAACAGAAAGAAATTCACGGTGGCTGAAGTTCAGGGTGTTCACTAGCCTACCCGCTAGACTCAGGAGTTTGGATTTATCCTGAGCAGTTTGAAGTGGGGAATGAGGAGTGCAGGACTGAGGCGTGTTTTTGGAAAGATGATGATTCACGGCGGAGTGAGGAAGGCACGAGACATGTTGCAGTAGCTCAGGGCGGGGTTCATGAGGCTGTGAACTCAGTCCACAGCAGTCAGTCTCTGCATCCATACTCATATCTCTACGGGTACACGAGGAAAGCAGGGTTGCCAGAGTATTCAGAGGCAGGGTCCACAGAACTTTGTGATCAGTCAGATGTGAGGACTAAGAGAGAAGTTTGGGAGCCTCAGGGACTCTGAGTCTGAGTGACCAGTAAACACCAGCAGCATGAACCATGATGAGGAAAGAAGGAAAATCAGGTTTGAGAGGGCAAACTCGGGGTATGCTGTTTGAGTTGACTGTCGGACAACCAGGTGGAAATGTCTGCAGAGAGTTGAACAGAAGGGGCTCAAACTCAGAAATACTTAGCACTTTCTTTATAAAGAGAATTCTGCTTTTCATAACACATATACAGTATATACAGTAGAACATTATTCTAGCCACAGCATACGGTACCCCTGGGAGATTAGGCAAGGCTGAGGAAGAAAAGGTTCAGAAGGATTAAGAAACTCATATTTCAAAATGTAGAATAGATAAACAAGATTATACCATATAGCACAGGGAAATATAACAAGATCTTATGGTAACTCACAGTGAAAAAAAATGTGACAATGAATATATATATGTTCATGTATAACAAAAATTGTGCTCTACACTGGAATTTGACACAACATTGTAAAATGACTGTAATTCCATAAAAAATGTAAAAAAAAAGAAAAGAAAGAAAGAAACACAAGGAACCTAAGAGTTACTGAAAGAGCCATGTGCCCTCTTACCACTTGGTCTCTCCTAAACACCTGCTCTTCACACTGGTTAACTGGAAGGGACATACATAGTTTGTTTTCCTCCATTTAGACTATTTAGAATTTCTTTAATAAGAAAATTACTTGATAATTACTGAAGTGTGCTAATATTGTGGCCCAAAAAGTTATTATTTTTTTCATGTGAAGTTTCTATAACCTTCACCCTGCCCACCAGTCTGAAAAATCACAATTAAGCTGAGACTCTCCTTTTACTCATCTTTGAATCCTCTGAGCTGATAAAACTGACAGTAGGTGTTCATTAAATAGTATGCTGAGACAGTCTGCAAAGAAGTATGAGTGACACTGTGTGTGTGTGTGTGTGTGTGTGTGTCTAAGATATATATATCTCTTCTCTTGCACATCTACTGTATATTTCACAAAGCTTGAAAATGAGGTAAGTAATGGCCATTTCACCCATTTGTAAACCTGCATAAATGGA